ATGGCCACTCAGACTTCTCTTGCTAAGAATGCCAACTATCTTTCCTGCCTGTAGCCAGTTATCTGCCTCCCCTTGTTCCACCCCAGCAGCATCCCGTACTGTTGGCCCTGTGCTCCTGTTTCTCGCCTTGCTCTGGTGGCCACTCCTCCATCTTCCGGTTGCTTTGCCTGCTTCGCTACCTTTTTATCCCGTGCTTCCCCCTCCTTGATTCCTAAACACGACGGTGGCTCAGAGATCAGGTGCTTTCTCCATAGAAACCTCTTCCCTGTGCCTTTGTTTTCTTCCTGAAAGTTTGTGCTAGACAGAAGTGCATGGACAATAAATTCTTACTGCGTACATTATTTTAAAAGTAAGAATGTCCTAATAGGTACAGGTACACCAGAAGGATCCTCCTGAGTGCTAGGTTTATAGGCATGTACTGCCACATCGAGCTCCCTAGAAGATTCCATAATTGGGGAAAGCCCTTAAAACTTGGGGTTACTGTAATATAATAGACTTAGTTCTTAAGGGACTAGAGAGATGACTCAGTGGTTAAGAGCACTGGCTGCTTTTCCTGAGGACCTAGGTTCAGTTCCTAGCACCTGCATGGTAGCTCATAACTGTCTAACTCCAGTCTCAGGGAGCCTCTTATGACCTCCTCTGGTACCAGGCAGACATGTGGGCCATAGACAAACATGCAGGCAAACACACAGACATAATTTAAAACACACACACACACACAAAGAAATGGTGGTGTATACCTTTAATTGGGCAGTGGTGATGCACGCCATTAATCCAGCACTGGGAGGCAGAGACATGCAGATCTCTGTGACTTCAAGGCCAGCTTGGTCTACTAAAGAGTTCCAGGACAGGCTCCAAAACTACCGAGCAACCCTGTCTCAAAAAACCAAAAGAGAGAGAGAGAGAGCCAGGTGGTGGTGGTGCACCCCTTTAATCCCAGCACTCGGGAGGCAAAGGCAGGAGGATCTTTGTGAGTTCGAGCCCAACCTGGTCTATAAGAGCTAGTTCCAGGACAGGCACCAAAGCTACAGAGAAACCCTGTCTCAAAAATACAAGAGGGGGGGGGAGGGAGAGGGAGAGAGAGGGAGAGGGGGAGAGAGAGAAAGAGAGATCCATCTAGGGTTTATCTCCCGTCATCCATAAATGTTCTCCAGCTCCTCTCCTGGCCCAGCTTCCTTCCTTCCCCTGTGTGACTGACCCTGCGTCTTAGTTGTCATAGCACAATATTCTTTAAGATGTGTGTATTTATCATTTGTGTGAGTTGTGTAATGCATGTGTTGGAGTGCCGGTACATGTAGTACAGTTTGTGTGTAGCGATCAGAGGGCAGCCTGCAGTTGTGGGGATGAAACCCAGACTGTCAGGCTTCTATCTGCAGAACCATCTCCCAGACCATACAGTTCCATTTGAAATGAATGTTCTGCTGTCAGTGTTCCAGGATTTAATGGGCCTGGTTACAACAATAACAGCAAGTCATTGTTATAAATGAAAAGACAAATGAACATGAACAAAATTAAAACAGCCCATTTGTCCTTTTTCTGTGGTGAGGAAAGACAGGTGCCACATCTCAGGGTCCCTGTCCTGGAGCCTGAGCCCGTATGCGGAAGCACTGTCACGGTCTGCACAGGCTTATGCCGTGGGCTCGGAGCAGTGTTGGGGGAGCTGAGAAGTCTATTTTTTCCCAGGCCTTCTCTCCATGGCCAATTCTGGCCCAAACACCAATGGCTCCCAGTTCTTCCTGACCTGTGATAAGACAGATTGGCTGGATGGCAAGCATGTGGTATTCGGGGAGATCACTGAAGGCCTGGATGTCTTACGGCAGATTGAGGTGAGTGGTTGGAAATGGCTGCCTACCAGGACTGTGGGTGGCCGGCACCCCAGTGGGAGAGCTGGAGGAGTTCTCTATGGCTGTGGAAGGGGGCACTTGGAAGAGGTCCCTATTGGGGGAGAGGGTAATCCCTGCATAGCTCTCAGCCCTGTGCTTCTCTTGATTTCTCTGTTGTGCTCACAAAGGCTCAGGGCAGCAAGGACGGGAAGCCGAAGCAGAAGGTGATCATCGCTGACTGCGGAGAGTACATGTGACGCTGCGCTTGCGCGTCCCCACTCTGCACACAGGGACGGGGTGGCCTGCGCTTGCGCGTCCCCACTCTGCACACAGGGACGGGGCGGCCTGCGCTTGCGCGTCCCCACTCTGCACACAGGGACGGGGCGGCCTGCGCTTGCGCGTCCCCACTCTGCACACAGGGACGGGGCTGCCAGGCCGCCGGGGCCTAGACGGTGCGCGACCAGTGTGTCCTGGGCTGACTAGAGCCATTTTATTTGCTAAAATAAACTATTTTTTGTATTGTTGCTTCTTGCAAGTTCCTCGGAGTTATCCATGGCTGACTGCCCTGGATGGGACGGCAAGTTTGTGAGGTGTAATGCCTTCCTGTGGTGTTTGTAGCCTTCCTGGGGCTAATTCCTTTACATGCCAGATGTCCTTGTCAGATACTCTCAGGAATCAGAGCTGCTTGTCTCTGTTGCCTGTGCCCCGAACTCATGCTGCCTGCCTGGGCCAGCCTTAGTGACTCCAGTGTCCAACATTATGTTGCATTCTCAGGTGTTTAAAATGGTGTCTTATGACTCAAAAGCCAACTCTGCCAGATGCTGGGCTTCTTGTCAGGAGACAGGAGGTTGGCATACTACCTGGGCCTTGGGCAGCCTGCTGTCTGTTTCTGTGAATGAGATTTTATTGTTGTGCAAGCACTGCCTGTGACTTCTTTCTCATTACAGCACTGGAACCAAATAGTTGGTGCCTGACCATGTATTTGTGTGTTCTTGGGGTGGATGGGGGTGGTGAACACACCGGCACTGACTAGGGAATTGGCTCGTGTTTATGAGGAGTAGCAGGTCATGTGTGCACAGCAGGCAGTGACTGGAGGCCCATGAGAAAAGCAATGCTCACACTCCAAGTCTTTGGGTAGCCTGAGTGCAGAGTTCCTCGAGGACATTAGTCTTTTCCTCCCAGGGCGCTAACCTGATCCAGTGAACTAAATACTAATCTACCTGGAACATACCTGCACAGGAACAGCTAGACTTGGCCCAGGCTGTAATTGACCCTGCTATGTTCTCCAGTCAGAGGTCAGCATCAGTGAGCAGGAACCATCTTAGGATAGGCATTTGAAGCGAGGAAACAACAGTACTTAGGACTTGTTCTAGAACCAGGAGCAGCCATGTGTAAAGAACTTAGCAAAGAGTGCCAAGAGATGGGGAGTTGCTGTCACAGTGACCTTTTTCACTGATAGCCGGGAGAGTTGAGGCCTGGAGGCAGCTGAGGACAGAGACATACTGGAACCCTTGAGGAAAGGTTTTGCTTATTTGACTTATACTTCTTTTTTTTTTTTATGTGCATTGGTGTAAGCGTGTCAGATTCCCTGAAACTGAGTTACAGGCAGGTGTGAGCTGCCATGTGGGTACTGGGAATTGAACCCAGGTCCTCTGGAAAGGCAGCCAGTGCTCTTAACCACTGAGCCATCTCTCCAGCCCCTATTTGGCTTATACTTCTACATCAAATAGTTTATCATTGAGGGAAGTCAGGGCAGAAACTGAAACAGAAACCATGGAGGAACACAGTTTTCTTATACAACCTGCTCAGGAATGGTACTGCCCACATTGGTTTGGGCTTTCCTCCATTAAGAAAATGTCCCACAGGTGTGCCCATGTGCCAGTCTGATGGAGGAAATTCCTCATCGGAGGGTCCCTCTTCCCAGGTGCCAACTTGACAACTAAGATTAGCTGTCAGAAACCCTGCACAGATAAACCAAACCTCTGCCAAAGATCATCCAACTGGCAAAACGGAAGTCGGAATTGAGCTTGTCTTGCCTTGGCTGTCGGCAGTAGCATACGTACCAAGCCTCAGTGTGCTGAGGTTTTCAGGGAAGACAGCTCTGGAAGGATAGCTAGGGCTGAAATCATGGTCCTCTGCCAGGCAGGAGTTCAGTGTGGCTCTGGGGCCTGGGTGAGATCGCCCTGCAGCATAGCTGTGCTGTTTCCCATCCTCACCATGCAACCCCTGCCCTGCTGCCCGCCGCTGCGTGGACCATGAGCACCTGAAGGGGCCTCTTTCCTTGAGGCTCCTTGGCTTCTCTTCTGGGGTAATCTTGCCCACGACACTTCTGCTCCAGCTCCAAGACAGCACAGTTTGATTTTTCTGGCTATTGCCGAGTTGTGTGCCTGCCTGTGATGTCTGCACAAAGGCAGAAATGAGGACTATGGATCAGGAAACTGCTGGCATTTCCTTTAATGGTAATGGTTGAATCCAGATGTCAAATCTACAACAGATTCTTCATCAGCTGGTCTCCTATGCCTGTCTGTGGCCAGAGGTTTAGTTACTGACATCCATAAATACACTAGGGTTTTGCTTGGTTGTTGTCTTTGTTTTTTGAAAGATCTTGAAATATATTTTAGGCTGCCCTTGAACTCAGGTAATTCTGCCCCAGTCTCCCAAGTACTAAGCGTATATCACTATCCCTGCCTTTCCCATGTTTTTTTAATAACCCTTCTACAGAAATCTGGTTTTATACCTCCAGGGCACAGGCTATGGAGTAATGGAGGGAGTTGGTCATGTCTGCACACACCTAAGGCCTCTGGTGGATACTAAAGAGCCCGAGGTCAATTTAGTGCTCTGTATTCAAATCAGGCTGAGCCAGTAGTCATCATGAATAGGTGGGTAAATTAGATTTCTGTGCCAATCCCAAAGGACACTTAATAGATGCTCCTGAGGGAGGGGCGGAGACGGGCTGTTGCTTGTGGACTCAGGTAGGTCACCAGGATTATAACCAGGACCATCTTCCCACCCTCGGGTAGAGGAAGGGAACAAAGGGGCCAGGAGAGGGCCGAACATGGACCTGAGTTGAAAGCCCCCACCTTCCACCTTGGCCTTGGATCTGACAGGATCTATTCATTTCATTTCCTGGTCAGAGGGGCTAACCAGATAAACAGGGTGATGGCAGCAGGCTGTGGACTCAGTGGCAGCCGCAGGCCTGGACCACCATGTTGTGCTCCTTGCGCAGGATGACGTTGTTGCTTCTGTCATAGTAGAGCACAGAAATGGCACTCAGCTTGGTGGGAACACAGCACACCTTGGGGACGACTTCTGGCTTCATCAGGTGTATCTGGTAGGGAGGGGATGCAGATAGGAACATGAACCTGGTGGTCCCAGCTCCCACCCACTACAGTCCAAGGTCGTGTTCCCCTGCAGCTAGAGAGGTCCCTCCCTGCACTGCCCTGCCCACTCTCCTCCAGACAGCCAGGCACCTGTCTTGGAGGATGGATACATGAGCCCTTTGGCACTCTCAGCCCCTGGTCCACTGTCACCTCCACTTCTGCCGATACTCAGGCTTACTGGTCCCCAGTACTGGGTGCCATGGGTCACCTTCTGGGGCCTCACTGCTCCTAATAGCTCTCTGCTTTACTACATCCCCACCAGGGTGGTGTCAGCTATGGAAGGGGCAGCCTCCATTTGCAGCCTAAGCTAGAAGCATTGCTGGTACAAACTCTTTCCCCTGCTTGCTGTAGCTCAACCTCAACTTTGGAGGCAAGGCTGTCTTTGCAGGTGTTAAGCAGGCTGTATGGCTGTCTGATGGTGGCACTGAGCTTGAAACGGGCACACATTTCTCCACCAGGCTGAGAATCTCTCAGGACAGTGGCTCCAGGCATCCAGCAAATACCAAGACCCTTTGTGAACGGACACCTTAATAATGACTCAAAGCGGCTCCTAACCGTGATGTCCACTCTAGAGCAGTGGTTCTCACCCTTCCTGTTGCTGTGGTCCTTTTAATACAGTTCCTCATCTTGTGACCCCCAGCCAACAAGTTACTTCATTGCCTCTTTGTGACTGTAATTTTCTTACTGTTAGGAATTGTGAATATCTGGTGTGCAGGATATCTGATGTTTAACCCTAAAGGGCTTGTGACCCACAGGTTGAGAACCACTGCTCCAGAGCATCATTTGGCACAATTGTCTATTAGGTAAACAAGGCCAGGGTCACTGGGTGCTAGGATTCTAGACAAATGTTCTGGAAGGAAGTCTTAACACCAGGCTCCACAAGCACAAATAGACGGCAGTTGTTACTGCCTTCCTGCTAGCAACTTCTTCCATCACTGAATGGCCCAGAACAACCAGGAAAGAAGTGGGAAGCTGGTTCAGGAGGAGCCAAGTCCCCAAAGAGCTGAGGGTTCGTGAGTCACCCCATCAGGCAGGATGGTTGAGCCCACAGAACATCAGAGAGGACAGGTCTACCAGGATACGCAGGGCACTTGGGGCAAGGCGGCCCCCAGTGGGCACCCATGTGTGTGTGCATGCCTCAGTCTGACTTCAGAGGCTGTTAGTCTGGGCCCCACACAGTCCACAGGTTCCCACCCAGGCATGGGCCGTGCATGTGTGCTCAGGTGTCTCTCCAGAAACACCCATGTGAGCAACATTTACCGAGGGCCAGAAACCTAACTGCATGGCGAAGACTGCAGAGAAAGTTCCCACCCCCAGGCCTGTCCCAGTCCCTTGGGCCCCAAGAAGGTCACTGTGATACTGACCAGGGCCTGCATGGTGGCGTGGTTGGTGGAGTTCATTTGGTGGCCCAGTGGGTAATTACACTCCCCCTCGCAGTAATAGGCTGAGTAGCCTTGGGGGGCGATGACCCAGTCCTGTGGGAAGGGGAAAGCTGAGTCACATCAGCGTGTCCTTTGGCGCAATTCCTGTCGCAGGGTGACCTGAGGCTGTGAACCCTCATCCCCTCAGCAGGCAGGGTGTGACCCCAGCTCTGTCCTCCAGCCTCACCCTCCTCTGCTGTGTCCCTCACGGCTGCCCCCACGCCTCCTGCAGCAGCTGTGGCAGGAAGAGAGCAAAGACCCCGCCCACCCAGCCTCAGTTTCCCCATTCTAGCGCTGACAGTTTAATGGGCAGAGGGCTCAGGTGGCCTCCGTTTTCACAGTTAAAGGCACAGTAGCTTCACCCCCTCCCTGGTGACACCAGGCTCTTGAGGTAGCTTTCAGAGAGGAGAAGCAGACATTACCAGCCAGCCGAGGTCCCGGAAGCTGACGTAGAGCTCATGCCTACGGCAAACATCTCTGCCTCGGGAGCCGTGGCCATCATCTGCAGGGACAAAACGGTACCAAGTCTCTACCATGCCTGACACAGCCCACCCTCCCTGCCAGGCACAGCCCACCCTCCCTGCCTGGCACCCCACAAAGGTCAAGGGACTCTAATAAGACATAGTTGACAGACTGGAAGGACTCAGCCTGTAAAGGAAGCTTCAGTCAGATCCCAGCCTGGTCCTCACCAAAGACTCCTAGGTGTTTATTCAAGTGCTGCATCTGGATGATTTTATTTAGCTGCCTCTTCATCCTCTGTGGCCTCACTACCCGAGGGGTCCGCACAGGGTTCCGGCTGGCTCTGAAGAAACCAACCATGAAAGGCTGTCTGGAGCGTGGTGCCTGTTGTCCCAGCAGACCTGCCAGGCCAGGATCCATGCTGTGCCCTGGGAGATGGAGACAGAGATGAGAGAGAAGAGAGAGAGAGAGAGAGAGAGAGAGAGAGAGAGAGAGAGAGAGAGACTGACTTGTGGATGGTGGTGTGGCATCTATGAACCTATTTTCTCATCTGGAGTCCAACCCAAGCACTTGGGCCTGAGGTGGCAGGGACAGGGACCTCAGCAGCCACAGACATAACCTGATATAGACGAGAAACATTTCCTCAGGTGGTCATCACTGTACCCTAAGTCACAGTCACTCAGAGATGAGCAGAGTCCTCTGCTGGTGATGCTCAGGACCCAGACTCCCTTGGTCCAGTGATCTAAAACCCGGTCCCATCTTCATCCTGCACTTTCTGGGGACTAGAACGTGGGGTTCATGACCCACCAGCTCATGGCTGCCTCCGCAAGGACATTGCTAGGGCTTATCCTCCCAGCCCGGCAAGCTTGATCATCCAAGGGCACTACCCTGATGCCCACTGATGCCCATGACCCTGATCCCAGACTAAGCAGGGAATCACAAAGTCCTGGGTCCAGTTCACATCAGGCTCAATCCAGTGCAGGTGTTGTGTTCACCAGGCCAGCCGATGGCTTCAAAGAAAGGGAGGGGCTTGAGGAAGCCAGACTGGAGCTTGTCCACTGGAAGAGTGGAGCCTATGGGGGGGGGGGGGGGTCCCCTGAGCCACTAAGGACTGCAGATGCCTTCACAGTACAGTCAACCCAGGAGAGCAAAGCCTCCAGCACCAGCTCAGACTTTGCAGGTGGTCCCGACAGTGACCCTGTCCTTTTTAACTGCAGAAGCACTCTAGTAAGCTGGCATGGTGAAGTCTGTGAACACTTAGAAGGGAGAGGCAGGAAGCAGAGGGGTCCAAGGTTACCCTCTGTCATACACTGAGCTGGCAGCCAGCGTGGGCTACATGAAAGCCTGTTTTTCAAAACAAAAAAACCAAACAGCCGTGGCTCCTGGTAGGCTGCCTGCACTGCAGAGGATGGCCCCACACCCATGGGTGAGTGGGCAGCAGCAACAGGACCTGGGTTATCCATAGCAACAGAAAGAGGAGACCATGAGGTTGGGGAACAGACAGGGAGGCACTCGAGAAATTAGAACTAGATAGTGGCTGGGTAAATGTGCACACCTTTAATCCAGCACTTGGTAGACAGAGGCAGGTGGATCTCTGTGACTTAGAGGCCAGCCTGGTCGACAAAGCGAGTTCCATGATAGAGCTGTTATAGAGAGAAACCCGTCTTGAAAAACCAAAAAGTAGGTCGTGGTGGGAGGATATGATCAAAACAAATTGTATACATGTATGAACTTTTCAAAGAATAAATTACAAAGGGTTGGAGAGACGGCTCAGTGGTTAAGAGCACTGGCTGCTCATCTAGAGGACTTGGGTTCAATTCCCAACACCCACATGGCAGGCAGCTCGCAACTGTGCAGATGGATCTGGTTCCAGGGGGTCCATCGCACCAGGCATGTATGGGATGCACGTATCTGTGAATGCAGGCAAAATGCCCATACCCATAAAATAAAATAATCTTCAAAAACAAAACAAGAATGATAGAAAGTCCTGAGAAGCCAGTCAATAACTCTAACAGTATAACAACCAACCATCGTTCTGCACAGTAATGGCCCCACGCAGCAGCTTGGGTGGGTTCACCTCCCAGCAGCAGTCAGTCAGGATCACTTCTGGTGCCATGACAGGGCTCAGAACCATTCCCTTTGGTGCCCTGTGAGATTCCTACACCAAAGCCCGACAATGCTCATGTTATCCATCACTAAACACAGCTCCATTGTTCAGCTGACATGTCACAAGCACTGATGCACACATGTACATGCATGTATATTTACAGACACTAATGTGACTCAGTGTTCTCACTTAGTGTACTCACGGTCCTGGGTTCTATCCCAACCCTGGAAGAAGGTAAAAGAGCCCAAAGGGCTGAGGCCACAGCTCAGGAGTGCAGCCTTGTCTGGTAAGCATGAAACCTTAGGTATAATCCCAACACAAACTGTAACGAAACAGAACACACTCATACGTGCATGCACACTCAGGTCTGTGTGCTCCGTTTGCACTCTACCAGGCTCTTTGTCACACACTGAGTCAAGGCCACTGTCCACTGTGGTGGACAGTCCACTCAAAGGTCAGCCCTTCAGGCAGCTGGACTCCACACTCCACATCTTGACCGGACTCCAAATGTCCACCTGCCACTTGAAAGGAAAGCTCATCAATGCAACCTTTGGCCTATGACTTCACCTGCTACTAACAAAAGTGCGAGGCCTGAGACTCCATCGCAGGACCACGACTGAGGGCTATGGGACAAGGGGACAAGGGGCGTGGGCTGCAGGCATGGCCTGGAAGAGACTCAGGTGAGGTCAGGCAGGAGGAATGGGGTCCAGAGTGAGGCTGGTGGGAAGCAGGTGGTGTGAGAAGGCAGAGCCTCAGGCAGACAGAAAGATAGCCAGGGCCCCGGGGCCACACATGGGGAGGGCAGAGCAGCTGGGAGCTGGAAGGACCCACAGTGTCAGGCCCTGTGAATGACACAAGGGGCAGGCTTGGGCCCAGGACAGGGCCTGTGTCCCTGCTTCTTACTGTGGAGTCCCTGAGGCCTGGTTTCTGTGGAACTCAGAGGCCATCAGTGTTCCAGACTCAGCCACGTTTGCTTTTCTTTTGCGTAGCTTGTTTTCTAGGCTCTGCTGGACACAGAGCAGACTTTGGCTGAACTCCTCAAAGCTAGCTTGGATGGGTGCTGGGGACCTCTGGGGGCTCCCAAGGCAAGGTTAGCTGTACTGGGAGCCCATGGATGCAGCTAAGCCAAGGTTCCCATTTTAGAAGCATACAAACTAAGACCCAGAGAGGGCATCAACTCTTCAAGGCCTGGAGCAAGCAGCTGCAGAGCCAAGCAACTCCTACCCTGCCCAGCACAAGGCAGAGGCCGAGTGAGGCAGGGCAGAAGCCCACAGGAACTGCTGCTGCTCTTTTCAGAGTTCTGTATTTGATGTGCACAGAGAAGGTGTTCCTCGCCCGAATCGGAGAGCACCTTCCCTATCAGATTTGCTCCTCGATCCCAATCATCAGACAGAACTCTATCTGGTCAAAGGCCACCAGGCTTCCCAGCTCTGGACAGAAAGGAATCGGGGTGTGGGGGGATGCTTTCTCAGAGCACACACACACACACACACACACACACACACACCTATGTAACTTTTTTCACTTTCACTGTGAGATTACAGATTCAGAATGACAGACCCCAAGACGCCATATTGGAGTTAGGAAGGGAGGCCAGAGGACTTCCCGGACAGAATGTCAGTGTGGTAGGGGCAACAGGAGACACTGCAGTTCACTAGGTAAGAATTCATCCATGGGCTGAGCTTGGGCCTCTTCGGAGACGTGCGGAACACTGTTTATGCACAGTGGGTTTTGCAGGCAGAGAAACAGCACCAACCAGCTTCCCTCTGTCTCATCCCACAGGCCACAGGCTACAGGCCTGCCACCCTTCTAGGGACACATAAGCTGCTCCCAGGAGGAAGGAGGGTGAAGGCCATATTCGGGGTAACAAAATTAGGAGTAGAAACAAGGGCCCAGGAAGAGAAGCCAGAGCTCCTCCTGCTCACAGACCCCCTAGTTCGGCATTTTGTGGCACCAGGTGAACTCTGGATTCCTCCCCGCCCTTTGCTTTCTCTACGGTTCATGATTCAGTTATGAGGAGCAGCACTGGTCTTGAGACCTGTCGGGGGATGCTCTGGAGCCTGTATGCGAAAGTCACAGAAACTGGGAGAGGCGGACCAGTCTCCTCGATGGTTTTGGCGAAGGGCTTTAGTAAGGCACCGGACACACAGGCTCAGCTTAGGATTTTTAATTAAAATCACTCAGCTCTTGAGAAGATACCATCTGGCAGCAGGAAGACTGAGGAGCCAGTGGCACACAGGTCAGATGTCCCTGTGGACGCTAACTCCTTCGCAAACCAGCCCTGGAGGGAGGGGTCAGGGCTCCTCAAGCATGAGGTTTGATCTGCTGCATGGGCTTGAGGTTGGGACACACCTTAAAGGAGCAGCCTGTGGTGGCCTTGAGGTCATCCATTGACGTGCCCTCCCACAGCTCCACCAGTGTCAGCCCCTTCTTTGGGTCCACCTTAAACACGGCCTTCTCAGTGATGATGAGGTTCACGCAGCGTTTGCCCGTCAGCGGCATGGTGCATTTGTCCAAGATCTTGGGTTCCTTTGCCTTGGTGCAGTGTTCCATGGTGACCACCACTTTGGTGTTACCTGACACCAAGTCCATGGCTCCGCCCATGCCCTTCACTTTCTTGCCTGGCACCATCCAGTTGGCCAGGTCACCGTATTTGGAAACCTGCATGGCACCGAGCATGGTCAGTTGAATGTGTCCTCCGCGGATCATGGCAAAAGAGTCATCGCTGGCGAAGAAACAGCCCTCGGGGATCACGGTCACCGTCTGCTTGCCCGCATTGATGATGTCGGCATCCACCTCATTTTTCAAGGGGAACGGGCCCAAGCCCAGGATCCCGTTTTCACTATGAAGGTAGACTTTCATCTTGGGGCTGATGAAGTTGCTGGCCAAGACAGGGATCCCGATGCCCAGATTGGCATACATGCCATCCTCGAACTCGAGAGCCGCGCGCTTGATAATGCGCGTCCTGATGGAGTCCTGTTGCTTGCTCGCGGCTGCGGGCTGGCTGTCGCGCGTGGTCCTGCGCTCGATGCGCTTCTCGTACTTCGGTCCCTTGATCACACGGTCCACGTAGATGTTAGGGATGTGGATGTCCTCTGGGCGGAAAGTGCCCACGTCCACGATCTCCTCCACCTCCACCACAGAGACGTCCGCGGCCTTGCACATGGGCACGTTGAAGTTACGCGCGCTGCCCCGGAAGATCACGTTGCCAGAACGGTCGGCTTTCCAGCCCTTGACCAGGGCGAAGTCGGCGCGGATGGCGTGCTCCAGCAGGTAGTGGCGGCCATGGAACTCGCGCACCTCCCGTGGCTGGCTCAGGGTGACCAGGTGGCCATCTGGCGCGTACCGGATCGGGGCGCCCCCTTCCTGCACCAGCGTGCCGTAGCCCGTAGGCGTGTAGAAAGCGGGCACGCCCGCGCCGCCTGCGCGGATGCGCTCGGCCAGGGTGCCCTGCGGCGTCATCTCCAGGTCCAGCTCGCCCGCCAGGTACAACTTCTCGCACAGCGCGTTCTCCCCCAGGTACGAACACACCACGCGCCTGACCTGCTTGGAGGCCAGCAAGATGCCCAGGCCGAAGTCCTCCACGCCCACGTTGCTGCTGACGATCTTCAGGTCCTTCACGCCCTTGGTCTTCAGCGCGCCGATCAGGTTCTCAGGGATGCCACAGAGCCCGAAGCCTCCTAGCATGACGGTCGCCCCATCCTTGACGCCCTCCACCGCCTTCACAGGGTCCGTGTAGAAGTGGACCCGTCCGTAGCAGTCGCTAGCAAAGCGGAGGACAAGGCGGTGGGGCAGCGCAGGCGGTGGGCGGCAGATGGAGACCACGCGCGGGAGCGCCCACGCCAAAAGCCTCAGTGCCGCCATCGCCCACAGGCCACGAGGCTCCCAAGACCCGGACAGAGCGGGAAAGGCCTGTGAGCTGCCCCACGCCACCTCCGTGCTGCGTCACAAAGCAGGGAGGACACTCACTGGGATCTCCATGGTCACACTCTGCCTGAGGACACCCTTGGCCATCCCTGTCGCCTGACCTGTCTCACAACATCTTGGATAGACACTCGAAATAATGCTGCTGACAACTGACTGCCAGTGCTGGGTCCAGTCCGCCCCCCCCCTCCCCCCCATTCGTAGTACCCTGGAAAGCTCACCTGGGGGCGGGGTTAGGATTCCTCAAGGGGCTGAAGTTAGCTGGGTCTTTTAAAGCCACAATCACATCTGTCCCCCGCTGCTGTTAAACTGCTCGAAACTTTCCAAGGACCTTGCCAGCTTTCCCTAACTCAGAGTGACCCCTGCCACCGCTCTGCCCCTCTCCTTCCAAGCTATCCCTCCAGCCTTTTGCTGGACCCCAGACAGGCCAGCCTCCTGCTCTGCTGTCCTTTCTGCCTCACTGCCCCACATAAAGGGCACGAAAACCCTGAGAGTGAAGCAGCGGCTGTAAACCTGTGTAGACGGGGAAACTGAGGCACGGGTACTGAGCTACAACACTGCAGAGCAGGGATAACCCAGGCTCTGCACTAAGGACCTGGGGTGCGGGTCCCCCACCCCTCCTTCCTAGTACAGAACCTCTCAGAGTCTGCTGCCCATGAAGAAGTACCCGCCCATTGGATGCTCCCTGGCTGGGGCCTCCCTGTGTCCAGGACCTCACCACTACCCACTGAGTCCTCAAGAAAGGCCAAGTGTGGCCCAGTGAGAGGGCTCCGTATATTAAGCTGGCAGCCTGGGCTGAAACCACCTCCCAGGACCCCCAGGGCAGCTCCCTGCTAAGCCTGGGAGCCTCACCATCCTCGGTTTCCACATAGAGGCGGAGTCCCAGGTCCTTCTTGTGGTTCAGCAACCAGCGGTCACTGGCTGCCGTGATGTCCAGCACCAGCCAGCCCTCGTCCCCAGATCGGAGCGTCTGAAGATCCAAAAAGAACAAGTCAGACTCCCTGTGGACATGAAAGAACAATTAACCAAGGACCGAGGTCGCACGCCTGCCTGTATCTTGTGCCTGCCTGGGGGACCACTTTCAGAGCCTCTTCCCTGCTCGGCTCTGAACTGCCTCCTCTGGTACCACAATTCGCTGATAACCAACCCTGGACATTTTTTTTTTTTTTTTTTTTTTGGTTTTTCGAGACAGGGTTTCTCTGTGGTTTTTGAGCCTGTCCTGGAACTAGCTCTTGTAGACCAGGCTGGTCTCGAACTCACAGAGATCCGCCTGCCTCTGCCTCCCGAGTGCTGGGATTAAAGGCATGCGCCACCACAGCCCGGCCAACCCTGGACATTTTACTGTGGCGATGCGCTGATGGGACACTGGCTCCGCTATGGCCTATTAGGGCTCCACAGTCATCGTGGCAGTGCAGAAGGTTCCAGGCCAAGCCCCTTTCTCGCGTCTGAGGTGCCTCTCTCAGGAGGCGCCCCTTTCCTTTTTGGGAAATGCATCCTCGGTCAGGCCCTGCCAGAGCCTAGACCATGAGACCATGAGTGGGGTGGGTACCTGGGCAGAGGGAAGATACCTGTTGGAGTGCTCCTGGACCACCTCGAACATACTGACATGGAGGGTTGTGTTGAGCGGGTGGGTGCTGGGCTCTTTATATATCCGGAACTCAGCAGCTGTGATGACCTCCCCAGCAGGGATCTGGGTTAGGTCAAAGCGGAATTCCTTCCAGTGCGGCTCCTGGTAGTCCAGGGTACGGTCGCGCTCCACTGGAAGAGAAAGTGGGAGTGGGGTCATTATTGGGAGCCAGGATGGCTTATGCTCAGCGTAGGGCTCCCTGTGGTGCCTGGGGTTGGGGGCCTGCTGCTGCTATACACACAGCTTGTGGTCTGCTCTGGGAACACACCTGGCCCCAGGAGGTGGTGTAGTGGGAAACTCAGCAAGTGTTCAGCAGGGTCCTGGTCCCATTGATGAATCACGATGCCTCCTTTTAGAGCTGCTAGGCCAACAGCGAGATGGACATTGGTCCCAAGGCAGAAAATTAGCACAGTTCCAGGGGAAAACCTTGTCTACAGGGACGTAATTGGCTGAATTTCAGTGGGACAGAGGACTCCCAGCGCCTGCCCTTGAGGAGAAGGTGGGATGGGGGAGCTCAGATCTGACAGCTGAGCTGAGCTGTTAGTTATGTGTTTGAATTTCCTGGGTGTCCTGGGAGAGGGATGTGCAGAGTGCACGCCACATTACAAGGCCATCAGCAGAAGGACCTTAGGAAAGGGAGGGACACCCAGTGCCAGCAACTAGGGGACAAAGGACCCACGTCCCTTCTAGGGTACAGAAGGAAAGTGGAAGAAGAGAAGTAGAAAGTAAAAAAAATCAAAAGTAGGATGAGAAATTCCTGGACAAGCCCTCGACTGCTGGAGACGTCTGCCCCACTGCGTTTTGAGATCTCAACAGGCTTCTTGGAAGGCCTGAGCTATAAACAGGTCTCAGAGGATGGGGAGCAGGTGGCGCAGAGGAGAAATGGGGCGCACTGGGGAGGGGCTACTGCCCGCAGATTTATTGTGGAGTGAAGCCACGAGTTAAGCAGGGCACGTCTGCAGTAAGCTGGAACTCAGGGCTAGGAACAATTCTGGTCTCTGACCAGTGGGAGCCACATAGTCCAACTACAAGTCCCCACGAATGCGAGGGGAGGATAGGATGGGGGTGACAGCTGAGGTGAGGTCCAGGGTGGGTACAGCCAACAGGGCAGAGACCAAATCTGAAGAACATATACCACATTTGCCCAGCAGCACAGAGATGCCCAGGGAAGAATATTCAGGGGAGTCTCCTTTCACATCCTTCCTCTCTTCTTTCCTTCCTCCCTCCCTCTCTCCCTCCCTTTCTTTCTTTCTTTCTCCCTTCCTTTCTTCTCTTTCTTCCTTCCTTCCTTCCTCCTTTCTTTCTTTCTTTCTTTCTTTCTTTCTCTTGTTTTTCAGGATAGGGTTTCTCCGTGTAACCCTTTCTATACTGGAACTCCGTCTGTAGACCAGGCTGGCCTAGAACTCACAGAGATCCACCTGCCTCTGCCTCCCAAGTGCTGGGATTGAAAAAGTGTGCCACCATCTGGCCCCTCCTTTCACTGCCAAATGCCAAAAATCTGTGTTTCCAGTAAACAGGGGTTGAAGCAGCCCAGAGTATTCCCCAAACCTAACAGATTTTAATTATGCGTTTCCAAGTCATTAACTCTGTGACCCACAGGCTTGCTGACCGCAAACCAGGTTCTACAAAGCACCAGGTTGAACTATCAGAGCAAATCTGAGGACAACTTCCTGTCTTTCTGTGAGGACCCAAGCCTGCAGTGACTGACATACAGCAGGGCTGGGGTGGGCTGGGTGACAGGTTTATCTCTATGCATGCAGCCCCAGACCAGGGTGGGAAGGATAGAGTCCCACAACATCTCAGCGTGTCTTTGAAGTTTTACAATCAGAGCAAGGTTTGTTTGGTGTCTTTCTCTGACAGATGTAGTTCTCTGCTCATTTCTGCACAGCTGCCATAGGTGGCGGGAACATCTAAGTGAACAAGACAGTTAAACTCAGCCCTAGTGAGGTTTGACAAACAAGAGAGGACCAGATGGTGGCACACTCCTCTAATCGCAGCACTCGGGAAGCAGAGGCAGGTGGATCTCTGTGAGTTCGAGTCAGCCTGATCTACAGAGTGAATTTCAGGACAGCCAGGGCTATATAGTGAGACCCTGTCTCAAGAAGAAGAGGAGGAGAGATACAATGAGATGATAAAAAAAAAAAACCTTGTAAATGTGGGAGGTGCAGGATTTGATCTCACATCATTACCCACCATACCAAAAAAAAAAAAAGCCAAAGCCCATTAGGGAATATCCTTTGTTTGTAGGTGTTATTAAGAAATTGAAGGGGTCATGGGTTTAAGAATGATGGAGGAGAGGGTTTGGATGCTTTCCATAGGGTCAGTACAACCTTTGAGAACCTAACAGGTAAGGTCAGACAGGACCTGCAGTACGGATAGCAATGCTATCTACACAGCATTTTGCGAAGCTGAGCGAATTGACCATTCTGTGCAAGAATCCCACACATGCTTGGCAAAACCGTGGGAAGACATTGCAAAAAAGCAATGCCCCAGGCACACAGAAAGCTAACCTTGGTTCCACGGGTCCCTGTGCTGGCTAGTTTTACGTCACTTTGATACAAGTTGCAGTTATCTGAGAAGAGGGAACCACAACTGAGACAGGCTGTAGGAAAGCCAGTAGGGTATTGTATTGATCAATGATTGATATGGAAGGAGCCAACCCACTGTGGGTGGTGCCGCCCCTTGGTGGGTAGTCCCGAGCTGTGAAAGCAAGCAAGCTGAGCAAGCCAGTGAGCAGCGCTCCTCTGCTATCTCCACTGCGGTTCCTGGCTACAGGTTCCTCCTTGCTTGATTTGCTTCGCTGACTTCCCTCAGTGGTGGAGTGTGACCAGGCTCTGGGTCTGTCCCCTGCCCTTGTGCCAGTGGGTTGTGTCCCCTCTAGATAGTGAGCTCTTTAGGGCAGGAGCTGCACATGGCTGGTGGATGGATGGCAGCCTGTTCAGGGGACAGAGAGAGCAGACTTCTGTTCTTCCCCAGGACACTGGCTCAGTGCCCATCACTCACAGCTCCTGGGGCTGGGGTCTGCCGCTGGTCTGAGTGACAACCATGTCACAGGGAGCTTCCAGCAGAGGTCACTGATGTCTGCACTTGCTGTGACATTTTCTTCCTTTCCTGGTGGGGCTTTTAAAAGTGGAGACAGGTTTCCAGGCCCTGAGGAGGAGGGGCTGGACATGACTGCCCTATGCGGTTGGTTCCAAAGGCTGAGAGGCCCACACCAGACTTACAAGACCCTGGGCTCCTGGGCTCCTGCAGGACCTCAGAGGAGGGTGGGGCCTGGGGTTAGTGACCTGTGCATTCTGCACCTGAGGAAATTTCTCCCACCAGGAGCCTCAGCACTGTGGCAAGGCCCAGGCTCACTCCTGGGGTATTTTCAGCTGAGTCTCTGCACTGACTTTCTTCACAGGCTGTTTTCGTAAACAGCTCTGCACACATAATTACTGGTCCAGACCCCAAATTAAAAGACAACACCCCCACAGGCCACCACATCCCAGGAGATGTGAGCAAGGGTGCGATTCCTCCAGAAGAAACTTAAGAATGTGGTCCTTGATGACACATCCCTTCTTGCCTGGGGGGAGGGGAGGTGGCTTCTGGGAGAGGGTGGCCTGAGTGTGCCCTCCACCCCATGACTCATCCCTAGAGGAATTCCCATCAGTAGGGTGAGCACAGTTTGGGTCAGAATTGAGGTCTTCAGAGTTGAGGTTCAGAGAGGGGAAACTGAGGCGGAGAAAGGGTTCTATGCCAAAGTCACACATGAACTCAAGGTCCATTGACATGGACTTTCAGACTTACAGCCATGAAAATGGGTAGACCTGGAAGTTTAACATCTGGCCTAGTGAGGTGTAGGTGACTTTCAGCATCTTCTGTCCCTAAGAACCCTAGAATGCCAGCTAAAGCCACCTTCCTCATGCTGGGTCCCATGGAACACAGGCTGTCAGGAGCACGGCTGGTGTCATGCCTGACGCAGCTCTTAGTGCCCCCTGACTCCATTGGGCTGTCTCCCTCCCCTCTGCCAGTCTGCCCTGAGCACCTGACCATGGAGGCTGTGGCACACGGTGGGGTGAGAGCCACGGAGAATCGAATTTGGCCTTTTTTATATTGTTCCATTTCTCTAGTGCCAGGGAAGATGTAGGCTGACTGTGGCCCCAAATCCAACAGGCAAAAAAAGCCAAATAGCTATTAATAATAAATTAATATGAATACATTATGGGTTAATTCATTCAATAGCATTCAAGTCAAAAAATAAGACCAGAAACAAAGACTGGGGATGTGCTTGGTGGTAAAGGATTTGCCGTGGAACCGTGAGGATGGAAGTTCAGATCCCCACACCCAGGTGAAGAGCCGGGCAGGCAAGGTGGCTGCCTGTGATCCCAGCACTCGGGTAGCAGAGGCAGAATCTGCAGGGCAAGCTGGCCAGCTAAACTCTGTAAAAGCGGTGCACTTGGGGCTCTGAGACAGAGCCTATCTCAATAGATAAAGTGAGGGCAGTTGAGGAAAGCCCCAAATGTCAGCTTTGCCCCCCGTAAGCGTGTGCACCTGTGTGCACACATACGCCCCCACACATGAATGTGTATGCACACACACACGCAGCGCATACACAATTTTAAAATGTTTTAAGTAAAACAGGTCAAATGAATCTTTGCCAATAGGAATCACAGAGCACTGGGGGACTGGCTAGTAAAACTGGGGATCCCATAGAAGCCCCTGATTTCGAGCGGCTTGTATTTTATATGATGAGCACGTGACACTTCTGTGAACTCAGGAACACTTTACAAAAAGGAGCGCAGCTTACAGCATAACTCACATTTAGACTAATACAATAGCTCTTACAGCGCCTAGGGACAGGACAGACCCCCGGCTAAGGATGGAGGCATAGAGCCTACATTGAGGGCATCAGCGCAGGGTGCAGACGAACTGCTGTGTGGCCTTGGGAATGTCACCAGCCTTCTCTGAGCCTCGCTCTCCTGAGCCAGCACTGTGCATGCAAATGCAGGGACAGATGTGGCGGTCTGGCCAAGTGGTCGGTGCTGCTGTCATCTCACTCGGCCCCGGAAGCCCCTTAAAGATGAGTAGCTCTATTTCACAGAAGGGGAAACTGAGGCTCAGAGAGGGAAGCCAGGAAAGGCCAGATCACGGTGGGAGTAGGCATGGCGTCAAGATAGGAATTCTCTGTGTGAGTCCCAGGTTGGAAGCCCCTCGACCCAGCCCTTCTCAGGTCCTCTTGTTTCCAAATTGGGAGTGTGGCGGGTATACGGCATCCCCGACAACCACTTTCATGTCACATGTATCGTCTCCCCCACTGGAAGGTCATCTCTGAAAGGACACAGGCAGTGCCTGTTCAGTGTGACTTCCCCAGCAACTGGAACCAGGAGCCAAGTCTGGCACATAGTAGGTACTGCATGATTACTAGTAGGAGGGATGGATGAATGAATGAGCGAGGGAGTGAAGAAATGAAGGAATTCCCTGGCAAAGGACCAAAGGAAGTGACCCCGAGGTCAGTGGTGAGGAAGTATCACCCTCAAGGTCACACGGCTGGCAGGGACAGAGCGGGACCAAGGCCGGGTCTCTCGTGCCCTCAGATCTGGTCCCCATAGCTCATTGCTGCCCCTGCCCTCAGCTATCTGAGGCCCCGGGAAGAAAAACTTCTGGGCTGGGAAAGGAGCTGATGCATATGCAGATGGCTCCATGTGGTCCTGCTGGGCTCTGCCTGCGGGTGATGGTTGTGCCTCAGTTTCCCCATCCAGAACAGAGCTGCCAGCCTGTTCACAGACAGGAGCAGGCAGGGCTGTCGTCCTTCCCGCCTCCTTTCACCCTTGGGAAGGACAGGAGCCTGAGGCCACCCCGCCCAGGAACGAAGCTGTGAGGCCAGCAGGTGCCAAAGAAACAGAAGTAAGGATCAGGGCTGGGAGGCACCTCGTTTTTCTGATGCTATCACAGCAGACACGGACAGAAGCAGAGGCCCACAGAAGGGAGGACGCAAGGCAGAGACCTGCAGGGACTGAGGGTGGATCGGGAGGGGACAAGGTGGGGTCCGGTGCTGAGAGTACCAACTTAGCTTGGGGCTCTCCCTTCTCCGAGCACAGGAACACCAGAGACAGGAATCTGCTGTCACACTGCTCCACAGGGTCACCACCATTGCCACCCTGGGATGCTGCTGCATCCAGATCCTACTGGGACACTCGGGCAATAATGGGGGGAAATGTGACATGGTAGGAAACACAATTCAAAATCCATAACTATGGATGTGGCCTCGACACGTTGCGTGGGCCTGAGCTAGCCATTTAACCCGAGTTCATAAAGCAGGGATTCCCACACAGTTCATGTGTTATTGCTAGTGGCCAATAACGGATGGAAGAATATGCAAAAGGCCAAAGATCTTTCAGACTGGAAAAAAAATCCTAAACACAGGACACACAGCTTTGGCTTGGCTTTTAGAATCCATTCCTAGGTTTAAATGACACAGACACAGACACAGACATATGGAAATGCCTACCTTAAGCCCTCTTTCTGTGTTTATACACATGTTTTGACTCACTCTGGTGCCCAGACTGGCCTTGAAGCTGTAGCAATCCTCCTGTCTCAGTCTCCCGAGTGCTGGGATTACAAGCCCAAGTCACCATGCCTAGCTCACTTGAGAATTTTGCTGTTGTTTGTGCGAAACTGAGATGCAGGTAGCGGGGATGAGGATCAGCGATGAGGATCAGCAGGCACTGGCCCTGGTCCAGCCTCCCCTGGCTCTCTGTTCATCCATTTGCCATCTCTAGGGATTTACTAGGGGTCCCAGGGGGAAGTGAGCACTGCAGTAATGGCTACTGCTCCGTTCACAGCAACAGTTCCCACCGGGGCTCTTCATGCTGACCCAGAGGGGGAGGGGAGAAGAGCATGGGCTGGGTGGTGACTCATTTTGATCAGAGGTTCCCCCGGGGGGACATTCTTGAACAACTCTCTCGTCAGTTTGACTATCCCTGCACCCTCGGTCGCCTTCCTGAGGCTGGAGAGCCACACGTGGTCGGTCTTAAGTACCCAAGCCCGGTTTTGAAGCAGGAAGGCTGCAGTGCTCTCCTGGCTGTGGGCTTTCAGAGCTGGCTAAGGACTGTCTTGTCCTTCGTTATGCTCTCCCCCACTTTAGCCACCAGCAACCATGGACGGGAGAGTCTCTACTTGACTGTGTCCCCTTTTCCTACCTCCGGGTAGGAAACAAGGAGCTGATGGCACCATAAACCTGCTGCTGCCCCTTACACCCTGCTGACAAAGTTCTTCTCGCCCTGGAAAGTATGTCAAAACCTGAGAACTGGATGCACAGCCTTGTAGCCTGGGCCTTTCTCAGGTGGTTTCCAGACTCCCGGTGTCTCCCTGCTCTTGCCTGTTCCACGTGCCCCTGAAGGATGAGTGGGTGCAAGGGACTCGTGGCAATGGCAAGGTCCATCTTCCCCCTGCTCTCAGGTCAAGGCCTGGGACCAGTCCCAGCCTAGTGTCTGCTGCAGCCCAGGCTGCCTGTCACAGACAGAAGCAAAGCGGGGTGGAGGGGGGGACAGAGAGGACGGGTGGGGGTGGGGGGAGGTGGGAGGGGAAGACGGGACCTGACCAAAAGTAAATACTTGTGATTACAGATAGAAGGCTTTGGGGAAAAATGCCACTAAGACTAGTAGGAGAAAGTGGTCCTGAGGTCAAGAGATACCTAGAGAAAGGAGCCACATTTTGGGAGATTGAAGAGTGTCACAACCTCCCCTTGGGTCATTCATTGGCCTGGACATTCACTCTCTGCCAAGTCCAGAGCCAGCTGTGGGGCCCAAGCCCACAAGACAAGTCATGGTCTGAGTCTGTCCACTCCACCTCCTGACAGTGCACTTCATCCACCCACTTCCTGCTACACGGAAAGAACCTGCCATCAGGGCGTGAGGATCAGCCCTGGTCACTTTGATGATATGACCACAGGTTTCCACACTGAACTTTGTCCCTCTCTTGAGGGCTGCGTTTATCACAGGGACAGTACCATAGCCCTCTGTTTACTCATCAGTCTTCCCAGAATCAACTGTTTTCCAGGACCTGGGCCTAGGGGGACCTGGACATCACCAGATTCCCACTCCTGAGCGCCTTGGTGGGCAAAGGCCCGGGGAATCCACGATAGCCCTCAGACCTTCCAGTCCTGACCCCTGTCGTCCCTGCTTTCCCCTTGGTCGTTTCTGCTGCACCGTGTTTCCCTGCTTCAAGGGCCTCACACTCCTGGAGGAGCACACATGTGACTAGGAACATTATCCCCAGACAGGTGGCCATGCGCTCTCCACGTGGAGACTGCAGCCACCCGGGCCCTCCTCTCTCTCACTCACCCATATTGACGAAGCTCATGACGAGGTCGGAGCGCCCCAGGTGGGGCTGCGGGGGCACACGGTCGTCATCGCCACCAGCCACGGCGTGATACAGGTCCAACATGAAAAGCGGCGCGGACGCTGGCTGTCGGGAGGCGGCGGGTGGCGCACGGGGTCGGGGCAGCTCAGGCAGCCCGAGCACCGCCAGGATCTCTCGCTGCAGATCTCGGCGCTCATGTACTCCCAGGCGACGCTGGGGAAAGACGTGTGGGGGACGCGGGCCGTGACAGCCGCCCAAAGCACACAGAGCCGTGCACAGCAGCCAGAGGAGCCCCCTGCGCGAAGCCATCTCAGGGGACTCGCATCCAGAGACGCCCCGACGGCGGGGACCAGATGGCGCAGAGGATCCTCTGAGTTCGCAGCTATCGCTGGCAGTTCCGCAGTGACTGAGCACCACGCGCTCGGCAGGCGATCGCTGAGTCTGAAGGACCGGCAGAGCAACGTGGGCTCCGGGGCGCTGACCCGCGAAAGTCGGGAGCACGACTTGCCTTCAAGTGCCTTGACCTAGGCGCTCTTCCTCGGCCCCGCCCCTGCCTGGACCAACCCAATGGGGATTCGGGGGCGGGCCCGAGGACGGACCCAGGTCCACTGGGTGTCTGTACCGCTACTGCTGCGCTGGGTGGTGGGAGCAACGGGTGCGACCCCGAAGTGGGTTTCGGGAGAATGGGTTCTGGGAGAGGCCATCAGGGGCCTCCTGGGTTCCCATTCAGCTGCCACGCGGGGCACACGCTGGGCTCTGCGCAGAGACCTCGGGGTCTCTGAAGGAGGCACCTGTGCCCTGGGCCGTGTAGTTCCATGTGGGGCGGGTCGTTCAGCGTTGGAGATGATCCTGAGTCAGGGAGCTGTGGTAGGACCCAGAGTCATGCGTCTCCGCACGCGCCCGTAGTTCTGGCCGTCGGGGCCGAGCGGATGCCAGCCATGCCGCGAGGGTGGGGCACATTCCGTTGCCAGAAGCAGCCACGGCCCGGACTTCCCAGTTCCTCGCTTGCCAGGCTCCTTCCCCGCTGTCCTGGGAGCGCAGCCCGCGGATGCCTCCCTCTGATGCACTCGATCACCGGCTTTCCGCTTGCTCCGGCCAGACCCTGAGGACACAGCTGCTGAACAAACCCGGGACAGACTCTTAGGCAATCCGGAGGAGGGAAACTGAGGTACAAGAATTTAAACACCTTACGTCGGGTCGCACAACAGTGGAACTGGAGGTTGCTGGCAAAGGGTGGCTGCTGGAGGGGCTGCCAGGAGAGAGACATTAAAACAGTGGTTTTCAACCACAGACATGGGTAGAATAACAGATATTTACATTAGGATTCACAACAGTAGCAAAATTACGATTATGAAGTAGCAACAAAAGTAATTTTATGGTTGGGGGTCACTACAACATGAGGATTTGTACTAAAGGGTCTCAGAGTTAGGAAGATTGAGAACCTTTATGGTGTAAAGGATCCAATGGGTAGTATGCTACGTGAAGGTTTTGACCAATTAAGGATTCTCCAATGTGGATTCAAAATAAAATTCCAAATAAATGTGTGATGGCCACCAAAATAATCTTGCTGTGATATTTTCAAGTTTTAACTATCAATTAGATTCTTGATGTAATTTTTCAGTTGTGTCTCAAGCACACACTAGTCTGGCTTATAACTAAACCGAAAGATCAATTTCCATAGGACTTCAAAACCCCACAAAGACAACGGATAATGCCAAGTAGTCTTTGAAAGTGACTGGGTGAGATGGAGCCAAGATACTGAAGAAAAGTGTGGGTTGGAAGCCGGGCGGTGGTGGCACACGCCTTTAATCCCAGCACTTGGGAGGCAGAGGCAGGCAGGTCTCTGTGAGTTCGAGGCCAGCCTGGTCTACAAGAGCTAGTTCCAGGACAGGAACCAAAAAGCTACGGAGAAACCCTGTCTCGAAAAAAAAAAAAGTGTGGGTTGGAGTGAGGAGGAAAGACTTAGGTTCCTTAGGTTCTGATGTTGGAGTCAGGTAAAAGTGTGTGTGTGTGTGTGTGTGTGTGTGTGTTCTAGTGCTGGAGATTGCATCCAGAGCCTTGTATGTACACGCTAAGTGAATGCTAAGTGAATGCTCAAACACTGAGCTAAGCTCTCAGCCTTGTATATTAGTTACCACATAAGAAAATGATCACATTTGCTGTATTGCTTTCTATTCACCCCACCCCTGGTTCAAGAGAAGACTTAGTTGATTGCTTTGCCTTCTTCCCTGCTCACCCTTAACTCAGCAATACTATTCTCTATTGGAATTTCGCTCTGGGAACCATCACAGGATTATTTCCAGTGCCAAATACAGTTCACAGCACAGAGCTGGATACCAGTTTAGTTGAAGAAATATTTGATATGACTTAAGCCAGAAACCAGGGAGCTTACAAATTTTACATGTTGATATTCCTTGCTTTTGATTTTTTTCAGTTGTCCTATGAGATGAGTTTGGGGACCACTGTCCTCTGCACACACCCCTTGGGAGAGTCCAAACACACCTGGCACCTAGCGTTAAGCTCTACGAGGAAAGGGACATGTTTAGTTTGGGTAGAGATATCTTTCAGATTTATTTTTGTTATTGGTGTATTTTGTTACATGTTTCTTTTGAGTATGTATTAATTGTTGTTTCATTTTGTGTTTTTGAGACCAAATCTCACTACACAGTTTTGGCTATGAACTCATGGAGTTCATATGGCCAGGAACTCATAGAGAGCCCCCTGCCTCTGCCTCGCATGCCATCTTGTCCACAACTGTTTAGCTTCGATTCAGCATCTTCCAAATTCATTGGACCATGGTTTTGTTTTTTCAAAGACTACGTCTTAGGGGCCAGGCAGACACATTATGATCAGGTGCCCAGCACTTGCTGACCTGGCATCTATCCCTGGGTACCAGGTGCCAACCCCCTTCACCATTCTAGATGTGTGGCTTTATGGACCAAGAGCAGCTGTCTAGGCTACATCAGAACATCACCTACTGTCCTGAGTCCTTTTCTGTTTTTTTTTAAAAAAATATTTATTTATTTATTTATTTATTATGTATACAGCATTCCTTCCATGTATGCCTGCAGGCTAGAAGAGGGCACCAGACCTCATTACAATTCCCATGTGGTTGCTGGGAATTGAACTCAGGACCTTTGGAAGAGCAGGCAATGCTCTTACCCTCTGAGCCATCTCTACAGCTCTCTTGAGTCCTTTTCTACCTGCATGGCATATCTATCTTCCTGACCTGTCTCTACCAATGTATTCACTGTGTCCATTGAAGGGCACGTAGACCTTGCTCGCTGAGTTGCAGTAGGGAGTTGGGGTAGCATTTTATGACCCAAGACCCTGCTCTATTCTCTCGCAGGCCCCTAGAGCCTGCCTGGAGCAGAGGCCCTGCAGTGACTCTGGATGAATGACCCTTGAAGGCCCAAAGGGTACCTCACTTGCCCAAATGCTGAGAAAATCCAGATTGTCATATTCCTAGGATGAAGATATGCATCATAAAAGAACAAATGAAGGGCTGGAGAGATGGCTCAGCGGTTAGGAGCATTGCCTGCTCTTCCAAAGGTCCTGAGTTCAATCCCCAGCAACCACATGGTGGCTCACAACCATCTGTAATGAGATCTGGTGCCCTCTTCTGGCCTGTAGGCATACACACAGACAGAATATTGTATACATAATAAATAAATAAATTTTTTTAAAAAGAACAAATGAACATAATAACCCAGCAAGGCTCATGCTTCAACCCCCAGCAATAATAATATTTAAATAAAAAAATCCATAAGGCCAGGCAGTGGTGGCGCATGCCTTTAATCCCAGCACTTGGGAGGCAGAGGCAGGCAGATCTCTGTGAGTTTGAGACCAGTCTGGTCTACAAGAGCTAGTTCCAGGACAGGCTCCAAAACCACAGAGAAACCCTGTCTCGAAAAAAACCAAAAAAAAAAAAAATCCACAAGCACTTTGTCTACCTGGGATATCATCAGCCATTGGATCAACTCAGCTCCTGCTGATGAATTCCAAATAAAAGCCAGAGAATCCTAGATGTCTTAATGGAAGAGGGTGGGGGCAAAGCAAGAACAAAGCTGAGTGTGGTGGTGCACACCTGTAATCTATCTCAGTTCTCAGGAAGTGGAGGCAGAGAATCAGGAGCTTAAGGTCACTGTCAACTGTGTAGCAAGTTCGACTTGTCTCTAAGAGACCGCTATGAATGTGAAGGAACAGACTGGAACTGAAAGGGTAGGGAAAAGAGGCATCATGCAAAGGATAGTCTAGAAGCCTGGAGTGGGTCTTCTGTGATCAGGCAAAATTAGAGTCAGGCATGAAGTCAGGCATGGTGGCTCGCACCTGCAGTCCCCGTGCTCAGAAAGCTGAAGAATTCCGCTTAGAATCTGAGACCAGCCTGGGCTACAGACACTAGCAAATAACAAAACAACAGCAGCCAGTGGAAGTTACAGTCTGTATTAAGGCTCTTACACTGCAGTCCAGGCTGGCTTCATAGTCAAGGTAGTCCTCCTCCTTCAGCCCCCCGGGTGCTAGGATTACAGACACATCCCACCACTTTCGGCAGAGCACTGATCGTTATCCAGGAACCTAGCACAGGAAACATGATCCGACGGGTAGCGTAATTATCAACTATTCCAGAGGACTTTAAGTGACCCAGATGAGAACCTTCCTTCCTAATGGAAAGACATTCCACGGCCCATTTTCCCCTTTTCAAGCCTTGTGGGGGATATAGCTGGCCTATATGCAGGCTGTACAGGAAGAGTGGGTGCATCCTTGCTGAACTCAGAGGCAAAGGCTTATCTTTCAGCATTTAGTGAACACACCAGTTTTTTTCCCTGGGAATGTGCCATGGTCCAGCAATCACACACTGGGTGCCCTGATCTACTTATTTGCCCATATGACTAGCTTGGCAAGACTTATCGTTCTTAGCAAGGGCATGCAGGACTACCCAAGACTTAGGGCAGATTTTCCCATCAGAGAGGAGAGTCTGGAAGAAGGTCTAAGTCACAAAGACAGAGATGCAATCAGGACAAAATGGCTGAAAACCCCAAATTCCAGAAGAATGAGTGAAAAGGCGCTTGTGTTAGAGGCTTGACCCCTGAATAGTGATGCTTCTGAGGGATGCTAGCCTCATCAATGGGTTCTCCCATTGGTCAGTTCATAGCTGAATGCACTTGGGGCGAGGTTGGAGGAAGTATTACTGGGTCCATGAGGATGTTCTCTGAAATGCGTTTGTATCTCTGACCCTGTCTCACTCTCTCTGCCTCAGGCCCACAGTGATGAGACCACGTGACTATGGTCTGGACCTCTGAAAGTGTGAG